TGTGGGGGATCTGGAACACCTGCAATAAATGAGGAACTACTGTAATCAAAATGACAAGAAATAAAGGATTGAAATACTTCACTCTATGTGAAATTAATCTATAATATTTGGGTTTCACTTTCTGAAATGATTGACAAAAGAATTGACCAATTTTTTCATAATATTGTAATTATTTGAGATGCACCTGTAAAAGACTTTGGTCTTAGGCAGTCATTTAATCCACACTAGAAACAAATGTCAATTTCACAACACACACAAAAAGAACTCTGTGAAGTGAACAAACTATTAAAGTAGAAGGCAGATGAGAGCTTTAAGGCTTGACTGAGGGCAGATCAGGACAGGCAGGTACCACCATGACATATATCTGAATATTTTAACATCAGTTAGGGCCACATGCGGGTCACTAATTTGATCAGTACACACAGAGCTAGTAGAATTAATCTAAGTTCAATTAATAGATCAAATGTGTATAGTGTATGTGTATATGAGAAAAGTGTATACAATTAAAAACTTTGACAATGTGTGTCCTAGAAAATAAGACCAAGCTAAATCAGGGCAGCAGAGCATCAAGAACCGCTGCTGTTGATACAAGTCACAGCAGAACCAGAGAAGCTTCATGCAGCAAAAACACACCATCACGCCACTCAGACCACTTGCCTTTCCGTCCATTTACCGCTGGACCTGGTGGTTTTTCCTCACTGGTAGCTGCTAACATAGAGACACATTGAGGCTTATTAAAAAAGAGATTCTGAAACCTAAATGAGAGACCTTAAACTACAAGTTCTCATACACAAAGTTACAACCTCAGATGTGCACACAAACACCACAATTCCAAAACCAATGGTTGAGTGATTCAATAGTCAAAGTGGAAATTATTTAATGTTCCTTGGTGGAAAGAATGAGTTTCTGAAGAGAAACTGCATCAAGTCATCCAAGGAAGTCTAAAACAGCCTGAAATCTTCAGCTAAGAAGTCTGGCAACATCCACTGCACCAAATCCTTTTGCACACCTTCATGTTTTGTTTTCGATTTATTAATGTCAGTTTGTTTTGTTTTTGAAGGCATACTGCAGGGCGTGTAGCCCGCATATAATCCTTCAACGCAACTCAAATGTTGTTCATAAAGCATATTTAAAACAAACAAAGTTTGACCAAAGCTCTGAACAGATAAGAGGTCTGCAAAACAACAATCATACTGTGCAAAAGAACAAATTGTGAAAGTGACATTATTAAGTAAATATAAAAATATGAAAGATATATAGAAATATGAGTCCCACTCAGCCTGAGCTCTTGACATTTCCAACTCACTGTTCCCTTGTGTTTGTCTCCTTCATATTTTCTCCCTCATGTAATCAGTTCCTCCTCTGCCACCTGTTGTGTCTCCCAGGTGTTTGTGTTTATCCCATCGTTAACATCTGTATCTAAGTTCGCATCTTCGTATTCTTCCTTGTCTGTGCATTGTATCCTGTTCGTGTCTTGTGTCTGCCTTCCTCCTGAGTTCATGTAAGTTTTGCTTTTGCATATATTAAATATATATTCAATTCTAAGACCCATGTTCTCCGAGTCCTGTCTGCAAATGGGTTCAAAACACAAGAAACCAGGGCTTAATTTGAGCCAGATCCTGCTGGAACAGGATCCAGGAACTCTTATTTTGGCAGGGTTAGTTCAGGTTACTGTTTGCTTGGATCTGGGAACTCTCAGGCTTACTAATGATAAAGTTATGAACAAATTTGACTGCCTTGAATGAATAAAATGTATATTGGATGTGTAAGCTGAAAATAATTACATAAACACTCATTTTAAACACAACAGCCACTTATGAGCTTCTTAATATCACATACAATCTGCCTCTTCTAGTAGCATTTCCGACTCTACCCTTCAAAAAAATCTCTGCCCCTAAAAGAGTGGTGGAGGTGACTGAGGAGCTAACCAGGCAATCATACACGGGCAGGAGCTCACAGGCTTCTGGAGGTTCACATGTGGAGTCAGACAATCAATGGGCAGGGAGTGGGACAGAGTCGGGCTTGGTTCTGAGCCTGACTTACTTGACAGTCCCATCAAGTAAGGGGGAGGGGGGTAGGAAGATGCTTGACAGAAGCGGAGTGTTTAGAAATGTAGGTAATAACAGATGTTAATCAACCTGTTAAAATACACCAAAATCATGGTCATGTCATCCTGGTCATGTTGCAGTTGTTGTTGTTATCCATTACTGTTTTTGTTGGTTTCTACTTTTTGGTGTCCTGTTATGTAATCTGTTGCTGTGTGCTTGTTCTGGTTGTCCCTGTACAGCACTTTGGTGTGCTTTGTCACTGTTTAAAGTGCTATATAAATAAATTGGTATGGTATGGTAAAATGCAGGTAATCATATCTACTTTATTCAAAATTTTCTGGGGGAGGACCCCCAGACTCCCCACCAGCCCAGTCAGTATTTGCGTTCCAGCATCGATTAGTTTACAAATTAAGCCCTGCAAGAAACGTAACACCTGTAATGATCATTCATTAAATTCCATGGCTGACTGGTAGGCTATAGTGATAGCTGGTAAACCAAAAATATGTTTCTTATGGTGAGAGGCTGCAGGTTTAATGAGTCTTTCTCACTTCTGGGATATGTCAACATGTCTGCAAACTTGGTAGCAGACATGTCCTGGTAGACTGCTCTGGCCTTTGATGGATAAAGCTGGTTTCATGTCCGTCTCCTGTGACCCTTTTTACGAGCTGTCACCTCAAACTAATTTAACCAGTTTAGTAAATCTGGTCTAATGTGGCTTTTTGGAGACCTGGTTGCGACTGCGACCCCACTGAGCCAACAAAGCAAAACAAAATAGAAGCATGCCACTTAGATCAGAGAGAAGAAAGTAAAAACTGTTGGAAGCTTCATTTTTATGTCAGTTATGAATTTGTTCATTAAACAGTTTTTTATTTTAATGCAAAAGTAATTTAGATGAACAGCAAAAGACACATCAGTCTACAAACTGTTTAAAGGTCATGTCTGTTGGAGCAAACACACCTTTGTTACCAGTGTGGGCTTCAGGTGCCCCATGCTCCTCCTCTGTTCCCTCTTAGTGGATTCCACACACAATTAAAATAAAATAACATTAAGGCTTTGGCAAATGTAGAATGTCACAAACTGTGAAAGCACAGCAGACAAATTCTGTCAGTTAGCAACCTTTTCCTTCTCTCTGCAACCAGCAGGGGGAGATTTTAAGACTTTAGCTCATAGAGAGAATGCTCACACACGCTCATGCACACAACCTTACAACTACACACTACAAGCTGAGTGATATAAAGGAGTGTAGGAACAACAGCATTGGATCGATAAGACCCCATGCTGCAGGACGGAAGGAAGAAGGAAAAAGAAAGAAGACCAAGATAAAATGTAGATTAAAAGGGGAAGGCAACACAAAAGCATCAACGGTAAAGTAAAAGAAAGATTGTCCACATACAAATGAATGAAAGGAGGCAAAACAAAAGAGCAAAGAATTGACTTGGAAATATAGCAATAAAAATGATGCACAGAAGAGAGGGGGAGTTCTTGTGAACTCTGGCATGAATGAAACAGCTGTGACTTCTGTGACAAGATCTCCAAAACTTCCCTCCACCTCGCTGTCTGTCAGCTACTGCAAAACTACACGTGTTTTCATACACACTAAATTATTTACAGACAATAAATTATTACAATGTATTTCAGTAGTCATACAAGCTAAACAATGCTGACAGGTAGCAAAACGGAAAGCAGATGAGCAACTCTTTAGGACAACAAGCAAGATCCTGACAGGACTACATGTAACTACAACCTCAACCCCAACACAAACACAGCTGCAACAAGAACCGTCACGTTGTGCAGAAATGAGGTTTAGTCTCCACTGAGCACAGCCACGTGTCACCCAGACTGGGTTTTCATCTTAGTGAGATGTAGCTAAACCAGCACTCTGTGTGAAAACCTACAGTCTGATACAAACCTTCACATGGCTGTGCTTCTTCATCTCCATTCTCTGAGAGTAAAATAAAAAGAGCCAAGTAGAGATGTTATGGATGGAAGGAAAACAGAAACTCATAATGCAAATTTTAAAAATCCTCACACGTAGGCCTGTTGCGATAAACAATAAATCAATTAATCACATGATAAATGAAAATTATCGACCTCACTTTCATTCATCGGCTTTATCGTTTCTTTGTGTCTCTCTCTTTCTACTGAAGACACTGGATGACAAAAGGCTGAACTCTTCACTGACCCCTCCCTTTCTCTTTAAAATCCATTTTAACCGTCCAAAATCGTGTTTTTGGATCATTGAAAGTAGCTAAGCTGAGAAGTTAAGCTAACAGGCTGACCTCGGGGAAAAAAAACCCGTCTTGTCGAAGCTCCAAAAATTCTCGGCTGAAACCTGTGCCTTCGTCTCAAAAGTTGTTTTTCTCTGCAAAAAGAAGCTGAGAATTTGTTTACTGATTTTTTTTTAATTAAAAGCTTTGTGTGAAAAATTATTTGCTAAAGAGCTCAAACCACACCGAGTGTCCACCATTTTGAGAACCGAATAAAGGAAAGAGAGACAACCCATGTCACGTCAAGAGACCTCCCTCCCATTTTTCTTAAAGAGACACGCTGCTCGCTCCCTCACTATCAGTTCAGTCTTATATTGCCATCGGGTGGTCAAAAAAAGGTACTACACTCAAAACAAATTAACCAGCATTTCTTCTTAAATGTGACAATAATTATTAATTATTGTCAAATTTCAAACAATATTATAGTTTATCGCAATAATTTCTGAGACAATTAATTGCCCGGCAAAATGTGTCATCGTGACAGGCCTACTCACACGTATATTAAAACTTGAACAGGTCCTTCAGCAAATAACAATCCTTCTTCATCAGTCATGAAGCATGAGAGTCAAAGCTCTTTCTGACACTCAGTTTGATCAAGTAAAAACATCTCAAGTACAGAGCGCTCTACTTGTATTGAAGCCACTTTGTACACAGTAACCATACAATATGAATAGACAAGACTTACTTCTGTCTTTTCCTGTGGGTGGAAGCTGTGGGAGTTGTCGCCCTCGTCTACTGGACATTGGAGTGCTAGAGGGACTGGTCTGAGCTGATCCACTACGAGGATGTGCCCTGCATGACAAAAAGCAGTGAACACTAAGGTGAGGCACAAAATAAATCAAAAGCTAATGGTGGATGCTGGGCCAGGTTATGCTGCACCCACAGAACAGTCATTGTCAAAGAAAAGAAGCTGCTTGTCATAGACGTGTAACAAGTTGAGCATATTATTTTAGCATTGATTTTAAAAAGACAAACCAACATTATAAAGTGACACCCACAAATGGCAGATCACTGTAAACTTCACAATGTGACGTACACAGCAATGACAATTGACTCATGGCATGGAAATGGGGAGGGGTAACATTAACCGTAAGGAACTGAGCTGCAATTATTATTTTTTTAATCGCCAGGTGTAATTGCATGTTCAGTCGACTCATCGAGCTGCAGGGGATAAAAGAAGAGTTCAACGGACCAGTGCGACCATGCGTTCAGACTGTCTCCAGGGAGCTTGAACTCAAAGCAACAAATAAATGAAACAAACAGAACCAACAACACAACTTCAGTTGATGTAAATAATGGAAATAAAGTTAAAACGTTGGCCCATCACTGCTACACTCGCACACATGTATGAGCAGTGTGATGGAATCCAAAAATAAACAGAGTAGGCAAGCTTTCCGATGTCGGGATCGCTCAGGAGGCGTGTAAAGAAAATACAGAAAGTTTGCAGTTTAAGGGACGAAACGGAAAAAAAATGGCAAGGTTGATAGGAAAAGAGACGATGTTAGGTAGGAGGTAATGGAATAATAAGATGAGGTAGGAGATAGGTGAAGCTGGGTATCAGGGTGTAGGGAATGGGAGAGGATGGGAGTGGCAGGTGTAGTTTGGGGTGTGGAGCATTTACTCTGTGGGTTAGTCAGGAGTTGGTTAAAAACCCGTCAACTAGAGTCTATTTGGGCTGTGTTAGTTTGTCAAATGTTTTAGCTGCACAATCATTTAGCAGAAGTGGAGCAACTCTGGAGGCTGAAACAATTTCTTGGGCTGAATTAAATCTCAGAGTAGTGGCACGAGTTTCTGGGATCTTCTCCCAGCAGATGTTATCCAGCTGGGAGGCTGATAAAAACAGAGCGGTTGAAATACTGACCAATCAGCTGCAACTTTCTGACCACAGATCAATAAATGCTGCTCATCTAAAACTACAAATGTTCTGCAGGAGAAACGTGCATTCTAGTTTTCACATTAAGGATAAAACGATTCATTAAAGAATCTATTTCGTTCCGTTCGCTTGTCTTGATTTAGAGATATGTATTGTTTTGTTCAGCGCATGCACTAAAAAAAGCTTTGCATCAGTAAATTAGTTCAGTGTTCAGCTGCCAGGTCAGACAAGAAAATAGCTTAAGGTAAAGACAAAGGAGACTCAGAGTAACTTATTTTAAAGTTTTGACAGGAAAAATATTCAAATTCTGAATTTAGTGCAAACTGTTTTAAACCTTGTTTACCAAAGAAATAAAAAGCACTTTGAGATCAGAAATATTTTTTTCATTAACTGTCCAAAAATTGCTCTTTGATTATGATGTCAAAAGTGCAACAGAGAATGTCAAATGAGACCAATCAAACTCTTGTTGAGGAACCTGTGACCAAGAAAATATGTTGGGTATCTAACTTGAGTTAATGTACTTTCTGAAACCGGTGCTTAGTTTGAAAAAAGTTTTAATTTCGGCCCCCATTTGTAAGTGGGTTTGACACCCCTGTTTTAGATGTATGGTTGTAAGTTTCTGGAGTACTGATGAAATAAACAAATACAATTAGTACACAGAACTGTATACGGACTGAGCGGTGGGGTTAGCGGTGTGCGGGCACCTAATTTTGTGACCTGTTCCACCCCTCTTACAGGGATGTAACTTTCAGACACACCGCCTACACTAACATTCTTATAGCAGATCAATCTGACCCAACATGGTAGAAGAACTTCATTACAGTTCAGTGTCTGCTGAGTTGTTATAGCAGCAAAATGGGCAACTACCTCATATTAGACATGAAGTGATATCGTTATGGCTCATAGATGCATATAAAAACAACAATTTCCTCTTTAATCCTCTTAAAAAATCAGAAATTATTAAAGAAGAATTCAAGGACAGTGGACATGGTACTGTGTCATGCTTTTTTTTATAGCTAATTTGTAATACTGGTAAACAGAACTGTAGGGCTTCGTATTCCAACTTTATAAAATAAAACTTTTGCATAATTTGAAACAAATGCCACAAACTCTATCCTGATAATAACTGTGTTTTTAACATTCTTTAGATTGATTTAAAACACCAACAATTGTTTCTCTCTCCAGCGTAGCTAAGCCTCAGCGAAATGATTGTACAACTAAACTCCAGGTTGCTGTTAGCTTGGTTAGCCTCTCCAATCTGGGTCACACCTCGTCATGGCAGGTGAGGGGGGTGCGGACCTCCCAGATGGCAGAGACGGCATCGACCTCATGAGTGACGAGTCGTGGGGGCGTTCAGAGGAGCGTGAGCGGGATGTGAGGCGCTCTACAGTGGGCCGCTGGTCTGCAGAGCGGGACCTGCTGTGAAACTCGTGTCTGTCCATGGCGCCGTAGTTCCTACAGAGGTTGTTGAGAGACAGGCAGGCACTCAGTGTGACTCCACTTCAGCGACATTAGACTGGCAGGGTGGACAGTGTGAGCAAACACTCTTGTTGGACCCTGATACTCCAAGATGAAAGGGCTTATGGACCATAATTACATTTTTATCACTAACAATAATATACACTTCTCGTTTTATAAGCATGGAAATATTTTGGCCTTCCTAAAATAAATAAAAGTGAAGAAAATACCACAATCAACAACATCAATATTACATTTATTTAAAATGACCGTATGAAATTATTAAAATAGCAGACAGGACATAACCAATTATTTCTAAATTGTGTAGATTTGCATGCACGGTAGTTTTTCCACACACAGAAAAAAGGTAAATGCTCTTTATGTGGTAATTCTGAGGAGGCTTTATGTGTCCTTAACCACAAGTAGATCATTTATTTTTCTCTCTGACTCATTGAAATGCTTTTTTTTTTTTTTTTACTGCACTCATCTGCAGGAGTCACCAAAGTGAATGAACTAGCATGAAAGATTTGACGACTTTTTAACAATGAATAACTGATGCAACCTGGGATCAAACCTGCAACCTCAAGATGGTGAGACCACGGCACTGACCACCGAGCTACCGCATCAACTCGAGTGTAGTGTGGTAAATTCACTGTGAAATTGAGAAAACGTACACAAAAATAAGGACCATGTCTATGTTACTTGTATAAAGCTGAACATTCACTTGTTTACATTAAATGGGTTTCATTGGTTTTAAATTTTCAGCCATTATTTCTAGGGGGAAAGTTCAGATATTGTTTTAGCACATAGCAAATTGTGACTTAAAGAGCCAGAAAGAAGATGAGGTTTCTCATCCAGGGAAGTCATTGACAGTGCAGAGGTACGATTAACAACTTAAGGGCAGAACCAGGAAGGAGAAAAAAACAGAACATATAACAAGATATAATAATGCACAAAATAGTCTTAAAGACAAGAAATGTTAACAAATTAAAGGGATTACAGCATGCACGCTGGTCGTTTTGTACTTTACCAGCTCAAAGACAAGAAAACATTAAAGATTTGTCTCAAATAAACATGACATAATTAAACCTATTTGTTTTCCATAAAAAGCAGAACGCTTGATGGGCTCTACACGATGAAAATACTCGACAACTTACTGTATTTTATAAAAATGAGTAGCCACCAAAGCTAATTTATGGTGAAAACATGCAAAAAACATAAATTTTCTGAATAATTTAGTTGAAAACTAGATCAACAGTTTAAACATATGAACAGTTACAAAAAATGTATAATGGTGTTGATAATGTAAATGTGTTTTGGATCGGTTTCTTTGAATAATGAAAAATTTGTCCAGAAGAGGTGATATCTCTTTTTGACCTAAACTGGCACACAAAAAACATTTCAGCAGGAATCTGAATGCCCTTTTACAACAATAATCATGTACACATTTTTATTACAAAGTTGTTAAAAAGACCAAAGAGTCATGAAAAATGTGTAAATAAAATTTCAGCAAATAAAATATTTAATTAGATGAAATAAGAAGGGGATAACAATGACAAACATCCCATGTATGTAGTGTCTATCCATCCATTATCTTTACTCAATTCTTCCTTTTCAGGTCATGAGGTCACTAGCGCCCATATCCAGCAGTCACTGTGCGAGAGATGGGGGACACCCTGGACAGGTCTCCAGTTCATCACAGGGCCATAGAGGCAAACGAGACAAACAACCATTCGCTCTCTCACTCACACCTAGGGACAACTTAGAGTTACCATTCAGTCTTACATGCATGTTTTTGGCCTGTGGGAGGAAACTGGAGTACCCGGAGAAAGCCCAAGCAGCACAGAGAGAACATGCAAACTCCACCCAGAAAGCCCCCTGGCCAGGATTCAATCCTGCAACCTGTTCACTGAGGCAGCAGCTCTACCAACTGAGCCACCGGGCCCATCTCACATAAAACAATTAGGAAAACATTTTCTTCCACATTTTTCATAGGCCAATTAATTACTTTCTTTTCTACTTTGAAATAAATATTAATTTCATGCTAACAAACAGGCTGTGGCATTGTACACTGAAAAACTGAATTGAGACAGTTGTTATAAGGCTCAAACTCCTTTTTGGCTTTATTGCTTCTTATTTTTATTATTTTCTTGTATTATTTCCTGAATGTACGCAGACAATATCTAGCCGTACGGACAGCAAAGAAAACTCTGTAACAATTCCTTTAAACTTTAAAGTTCTAAATACTGTGGCTACAAAAATGAACCAAAACAATGAATCTATTTCAAATTATATATAAAAAATTACATTGATTTGTGAATTATGGATTTAGATTAGGCCTGTACACTATATTAAGAATCTATTATCATAGAAACAATAATACAGCAAAATTGACCCCAAGTACTTAAAGTCCTGCACCTTTGTGACCTCTGCTCCTTGTATCCTCACTGTTCCACCGGCCTCCCTCTCATTCACACACATACTCTGTCTTACTACGGCTGACTTTCATTCCTCTTCTTTCAAGTGCATACCTCCACCTCTCCAAGTTCTCTTCCACCTGTTCTCACCACAGATCACAATGTCATCTGCAAACATCATAGTCCATGGGGGTTCCTGTCTGACCTCATCTGTTAGTTGGTTCATCACCAGAGCAAACAAGAAGGGGCTAAGAGCCAATCCTTGATCCCACTTCCACCTTGAAGCAATCTGTCATTCCTGCATCACATCTCACCACTGTCCTGCTGTCCTCATACATATCCTGTACCAGTCTAATATAATTCTCAGCCACCCAGATTTCCTCATGCAATACCACACCTCCTCCCTCGGTACCCTGTCATTTGCATTTTCTAAACTCACAAAAACACAATGGAGTTCTTTCTAACCCTCTCTGTACTTCTCCATCAGCATCCTCAAAGCAAAGATGGCATCTGTGGTGCTCTTTCTTGGCATGAAACCATACTGCTGCTCACAGTCACCTCTTGTCTAAGTCTTGCTTCCACAACTTTCTCCCAGATCTCAACGTTTGACTCATCAGCTTAATTCCCCTGTAGTTGCTATAACTCTGTACATCACCTTTGTTCTTAAAAATGGGCATACTCACCTTCAAATATGCCATTTAATATATGAGCCAAAATTCTCACTGCCATCTCTCCTAGACATTTCCAAACCTCCACTGGTATGTCATTGGGTTCTACTGCCTTCCCTTTCTTCATTCTTTTCAGAGCTTTCCAAACTTCATCCTCACTAATCTTTCCCACTTCCTGGTCCACAGTTTCTATGACCTATACTCTTCTTTCCCTTTCATTCTCTTCATTCATTAGCTTCTCAAAATACTCCTTCCATCTTCCTGTCACAGTCTCCTGAATTGTTGGAACATTACCAATTCTATCTTTTACAAGTCTAACTGGCTGCACATCCTTTCCTGCCTGATCCCTCTGTATTGCCAATTGGTACAAGTCCTTCTAGCCCTTTTTAGTGTCCAGCCTCCCATACAACTCATCATATGCCTTCTGCTTTGCTTTTTTTGCTTTTAGCTTCCCTATTTGCTCTACGTTGCATCTACTTATATTGCTGTCCACTCTCTCTAAACTGGTAGATACAAAAACTGGATTAAAGCTATTGTGGTCATACCTTCTTTTCAAAACTGTCTAGAGACTATCAACAGTTTGATTAAGGACCTACAGATCAAACTCTAGACTCCTCGTAAGTACTGCCACCCTCCAAGTCTGAGCCACCCACCAGTGTCAAGCCACCCTCCAGGACCCAAACATACTCCAAAACCCAACTAATCTTTAGTGTTCAGATACTCTCTAAAACCCAGTCATCCTCCAGGGCCCAACAACTCAAAGCAATGCCAAGCAACGTCATTGCTGACATGGGACTGACTCCATAGTTCATGCGTCTTTACATCCAAAGTCCTCTTTGTTGTCAGTCTAGGAGGACACTCTCTCTTGGAACCCTCCTGGTAAGTTCCAAGAGGCTTTGGACCCTCGTCACTCTCTCTTTCATGTCCAAGAATGTTCTGATAGATGCCTCTCTCTTTCTTGCTCCTGTAGGGTCAAAGACAATACTGTTCATTTTCCACTCCTTGTGTGTCTCTAGTCACCCTTCACAGAGAGTTTCCAGTCACCACTCACAAAATTTCACCCAGCACCAGCTTCCTAATCTACAGACATCAGCCTCTGAGTCTTTCCACTCACTATCCTCTAAAGGTCTCCACTTACCAGCCTCCAAGGGTGTCTAGTTTACTATTGCCTAAGGACTCCAGTCTCCTGTTCTTAAGGATCTTCAGTTTCCTGGCGCCCAGGGCTTGTAGTCCCCTGTTGTCTTGGGCTCTCACATCGCCAGTCACCAGGGATTTCAGGGCACTGAAAGCTCCATGCCAAATGTCAAAGAGTATTCCCAGTCTTCAGTTCTCAAGCATCCATGGTCTCTGACCTTCAACCCACCGCAGTTTCCGGATCTTGAGCCTCCACAACCTCCAGCACTCAAGTCTCCATGATCTTCTACCCTTGAGTTCCTAGAGAGATCTGAACTCTCTCTCGTGGGTCTGGTCAGTTCCCGGGCCATCCACCTGAATTCTCTTGCAAGTCTCGACAGTTTTATTTTTACTGTCTCCACATTTGAGATGCATCACAGTGCGACAACTCTAAATAGAGGTTGGTGACTTACTTAAACGGTGTTCACTGCCTGTAATATTTATTGTTCTAATAATACTTTACCATAAAATGATTCCAGAATGTTAATAAACCAGAATACAGAATAATGTCTTAACTAGGCCAAAATTATCATTATAGTGAGTTCTGTGCACATTTATTTGGTGGGTGTGGCAAAGTTAGAATCAATTTTTTTTTTTACTTGGCAATTCAATGTGCGCTCATCATACACATTTTCAGACCACCAGTTGAAATTAATTAAACTTGTTTTTAGAGGTTTGACTTTATAATGTACACAAGCAATGGACATCAAAATATGAACAATCAAATGCTGGTCAGCATTCAACTCCACAACCGATAAACACAAAGCTGAAATCAGCAACACAGATAGCTCTGAGCCTCAAGATCCAAAAGCAGTTGTGTATAGTTTGTTCACATCTACACAACTCCAGAGCTGTGATGACTTCTTAACAAAAACCGATATCAGACAGGATATCATTTTGAGTCATCACACATATGGTCACAGAGAAATAAGGGAGGATCACGGGACAACTTGAAGAGACCAGATGATGGTGGATGCACAGACGCTGCAGCAGTACATTTCAGTACCTCTCATAGTCATAGTTGGAGGAATAGGCGCCCTCTGAATAGGCTCGGGTCATCCTAGTGGAACGCAGTAATCTGACTGCTTCCTCTCTGCAGAGTGGGAACGCACGATGGTTGCGACTGGCAAAAAAATATCATAACTGGTAAGCATTTAAGTGTCCTTCACCGCATCAAGATTTATTATTAGGAAGAAAACCTGCAAACAAAGTTTTTGATGTCCATTACAATCAAAACTTATAAACCATCATGATGATCCTGATGCAGTAAATACATAATTATGTTTGTGAGAGAACCCTTTCTGTTGGACAAAACTTTTCAAACACAGAATATTTATGCAGGGGTGTCAAACTCCAGGTCTTGAAGGCCGGAGTCCTGCAACTTTTAG